CAGGAATGCGTTCGGAAATCTTACACGTGGAGTGCAGTGACATTTAACTGACCAATCAGGATAAAGAAATCTTTGCTCCTTTCGTCCTGATTGATCAATTTAACATTACTTAATCCTACGGGTAGAATTTTCGAATGCATCCTTGACAGGTATTCGATTCTAGAAAATATATCAAAACGTATTATATCGAACGATACAAAAATTATAAAAATGTAATCGCCGATTAATAAAATTAAAAGGGACTTGGGTTTTTTTATTCTAATAATATTTTTAATTTGTGACTCGAAAACAATCATGTGTTTGATTATTAATTCACTATCTTTTATTGATCTCTTCTTGCAATTGCATTGTTATATTATATAAAATTTTGTCTTATTTATTTACATGAGAATATAAATCCGCAGAGATTCCCTAAACAAAAAAAATATCTGACTTTATTTTGATACAGATATACTATACGCATAAAATTAACAGCAATTTTTCTCCAGTAAATAAAAAAATTAACTTGCATATTTGAAGACAATTTATTATGAGTACATCAATACAAAATAAATATAATTCACAAAATGTACATATACGATTATTTGTAACACGTTTATATCACAAAATAGCCTTATATTTTTGCTGGTCGAGTCACGACTTTGCAGGTACTTTCGTCGGCGGACCATCAAATCGTTTTGTCAATTGAATGATTCTTTCCGCTTCACGAATACCGCTGAGTCTTGCACCATGCACGGTACTATAATGCCCTGGTATAGTAGCCTCGCCCGCGAATAAGAGTATGGGAGGTACCGCTTCACACGAATCTAGAAAACATGTGCGTTGACGAGATGCCGAAGAAAACTGCCATTATCGAAATTATTAATAATATTTGATGATCGTCAATTTCAAAAATAAAATTGAAAACTATATATATTGATATATCGATCAGAACGTTAAGAATGTCTATAGCAGAATTGTTTGCGAGTGAAACGTGGAACTACCTGGTAATGGACTAGCCAGATCACATTGATGACCGATGGTGCTGTCCATTGCCATGTAACTGTAAGCCCCAGCAAAGTATTGATCCATACACCACTTGGTCCTGAGAATATTAGCTGGATAAGGTAGCGTGGGATCACCGGTAAATTGACGAAGAACTGTGGTCATCGATTCTACCACTTCTTCGTCAGAGCATAGTTCCATATCCATCGCTTCGCGTCCACACACGCAGGCACATAACACATGCTGAGAATTCGGCAATTCATCTACATGCACCACACCTAAACGCATCGTCAAATATAAATTAGAATTATTTGCCATTTTATATGTTTTTTTTTTTTTAATTGCAATAAAACTCTGTAATATTCGAATATTAATTCAACAAGAAGCAACAACCTTTCACCCAATCGCATCTATCCGCCAACTCTTCAGCGGACCAAGCCAAATTGATGCCGCCCTCGCGCCAGACCCAGAAGGGCCTCGCGTATTCGAGGAAGATTTTGTTAACGTGTCCGTAGCCGAGCTTGTTGATCGCTTCGACTTTCTCAGCGGGTAATCCGGGTAAAAACAATTTCGCGTACTGATGCTTCAGAACACCGAGCGAAACGGTCACGATGACATAATCAGCGGGAAATTCATCGCCGTCGCGGCATTTTACGATGGCCCGGGGACAGGCTTCATTCACTGTACCCCATCGAATGCAACTAACTGGTTTGCAATACCTTAAAAAAACATTTTTCTTTTACAGGAAAAACTTTAAGAAGCTATATCTCTACAAAGCCATATCTTTATATAAAAGTTTATCTGTTTAATTTTTTGTAGGATATATATATTAAAACGTGACATTTCAAGATATTGTGCATTCTAATAATTAAATCTTTTATCTAATTTTTTTAACTTTGTGGTGTATTTCTCTCTTCGTGAAATAGATGTACTGATAAAAAAAAAAGATTAGACGCAATTGCCACAAATGTTTTATACGAACTTGATGCAACAACTAGGTAGATCTCGAAGCAGGGGAGCCAGCACTCCCACGTATCCTAAGGGCACTCTAATATTGCCACCGGGAATCTCGATATAGCTGCCGAATTGATCGGCTGAGACGAGTGAAAGGTCATCTCCGCATCGACACCTCACGCAATTCGTCAAACCGTACATCACCCTTGCGGCATCATATCTGCAAGTTAAGAGTATAGTTGACATTGTAATTTTAGAAGAAAAACGTAGTTTAATCATAATCAATTATGCAGCGATGTGTAACAGCTACTTTTGCAAGATTGTAATAAATCAAATTTGTTTTCATTATTAAAACACTAAAATGCAAACAGCTTTTCATAAAATGATACGCGGTTTGCGTATGATTAAATATATGATTTATTTCATTTACATATTTCTGTAAAACGTTAATAATTTAAAATAATATATATTAATTATTGGCAATTAATTTAGGCAGTATTATTATAACATATAAAGTAATCAGCATTTATTTTGTACAGGTGAATGTACAGGTGAATAATAACTTCTATAATCCTGACTATATTTTTTGAGTTGCCTATTTAAAATAAATTACATTTATATATAATAGCTTTATATGTGTGAATATTTTTATTAAAGAAAAATTTAAAAAGTTTATAAAATTTAAATGAACTGCATTCTGTAATCAAGAATACCTTCTAATCAATTGATAAGAAACTTATCTACGTTCGCCTAATTATCCTAGTACAATCTTTACATCGCTGCTTAGAAAGCTTGCGAGTGACCTGGACAACTGTACCGTTGCTCCTCCGGGAAGTTTTGCAGCTCCTGCTGTAAAATTCAGCAACGTACCGTGGGCACGACCGCAGCCAAGAGCGAAAAGAGCCGCCGCTTGCTGTTCGATTTGCCGAAAAGTGTGATACGCTGTGATGCTGACCGGAAGATCGATGGCTCTGCCATCACTGGTGCAAAAAAGCCCGCGACTAGGATCCCGTCTAGCGAGCGGCGACTTCAGAAGACCTTCCTGCGCCGCCAAAGTGTAGACCGGATTTGCCACGCAACCACCCTCGATCCATGTGGCACCCATTTCCGCTACCACATCACCCAACCAGCAAGAATGGATTCGACCACCCGGTCTGAGATTGAAAAATAAATTTGACCAACTCTCGTAAAAGCAGGATCTCACGATACGAAGTTCATTATATTTAAACATTGAGATAATTAACGAAATGTATTAAAAAGATTTCAAAAAGCAGCTTATATCTATGTGTGCGTGCGTGTGTATATATTTTTTATTTAATGTCAAGTTTAATTTAATTTTACTTTTTACCTATCCGTTGCTTCTAAAACTGTAAAATTGTGAAAGCCGCATTGAGCTAATCGATGCGCTGCTGATAATCCGGCCATACCAGCGCCTATGATAATTATAGTTGGTTCTGGTTTGCATGGATCTATCATACAGGGATCCAGCTGACATGTTTCCAATTTTGCAGATCTCGTACATTCTAATATATCCTTTTTACAACCCTCGCCTTTGTCCAATGAGAATAATCTGCAGAGAGATTTTCTTGTAACATTATTCAATTTGCAAACATTTTATAGGCATTATTTAGTTTAATTAACAGCTCTTTTTAATTGCAAATAATAGTTTAATCTTATTTTTTTAATTAACGTCATAGATTTTTGATAAACCACAAAACTAGTAATACGTTTTAAAAAGACATGAAAGAATACGATTTTCAGAAAAAGCCTATACGCCTCTTTTCATTTGATATTATATCAATATTATTCTGCATACCTTGTGAGAAATCGCTGTAGCTTCCAGGATGATACCCTGGACCGCGAAAGCATCTCATTGATTGTAAATTATTAAAATAAATAAATGTCTTAAAAAATAATATTTAATTTTTAAATTTATAGATATATAAAGGCGAGTTGCTATAAAAAAGACATGTCATTTGCAAACAAAGAACTTCCGTCACTCTGACCGTCTACTGTTGTTATATCATTCTTCACGATTCGATAATCGAACTAGTAAAATCGAGATATAAAATCATTTTAATGAATATTACACAATATTAGAACACTATAAGCGCGCGCTACGCACGCACTATTTATTTTGTGTGTGAATAATTACTTACACATATTAACTCTAGTTCTCCATTTTTTCAAAATCAATTAAATAAAAATTACACACACACACTTAATATTTGAACTGTGAAATGCGTCGCTCAGTTATGACAGGCTTTTATTGATATAAAATATAAAGTAATGCACAGCGTAGCGTCGAGATAACCAATCAGCATCGCAGAAAAGAGATATCACAATGAGAACTGCTCACAGCATATTATTAGAATATTATACGTGTGTGTGTTATATATAAAATATTATAAAATGCGCCATTTAGTTTTTATAAATAATAATAGACAATAATGATTAAAAAATCGCGATGCCTCTTGCAATATTGGAGCGTAAGAATATTAAGAGTTTCTTTTATATCTCGTGGAATGCTATCCAGAACTTTAAATAAAAAACCGGAATCGCGAAAAAATTTACCTTTAAAATATTTAAAAGTAATTTAAAATATATACTTACATATAAAATTATATATAAAATTTAATATTATCGCACGGCGACACTCGACCAGTAAAGTAGCAGTGCGAGATACTCCGTTAAATTTCCT